AGCTGGCGCTTGTACTCATGGATGCGCTTGATCTGAATGTCGATGAGCGCATCCTGCCAATGTTTCCATGTCGACCCATAACGCTTCACATCACATGCAGGTCAGCGTCCTCATCAATGTCCAATTCCAGCTTCTCCTTTCAGCTAACTAACAGCGACCAAACACACTGCTAGCACACAAACTCATGGCAACTACAACTGTCACCGTGTGCCAAAGAACTCCTTGACAAAGGCTGCGAGCTTTGCCTTTGCCGTCTTCTTCCTTGCAAGTTCCAAACATGAGTGCTCAGTGGCCGAAACAACCGCTTCTGCTTCAGTTCCACAACGCCTCTCAAAGGGCTGTTTCAGATGTTAACAGGAGAAGCTACCTCAACAACGACTCACCTGGGGCCAAGCGACATCTCCATCCACTCAGCGTGAAGCTTTGGATCTTCCTTGAACTTGAGCATGTCCTTCAGCTTGGTCATGTCAGTCAACCACCTTAGCAGTCTGGCTCTGAGGTGAGAAAGGGATGAAGCTGGAGCTGCTGCAGATAAGCTGCTCATGAGATCCGAGGTATTTGGTGAAGATGGCGCTCAAGGGAGGGTTTGCACAGTGAACCCACCGGCGCGGTGTCACGCCGTTGGTCATGTTCACGATCTTGTCCTGGATACAAGCCAGGAGCCCTGAGGATTTGGTCTATTGCAGTAATTGAGGCCGTCGCCGGCTTGCCGATGTCGCAGCAGTACTTGTAGAATTCAGGGAATGTCTCCTCAAGACCAGATTCACATGCAAAAATCTCCTTGAGAAGAACATTCAGCCTTCTTGATAATCTCTGTGTGGATGGCAGCCACTCCATTCACCTCCAACAAGCTTCCAAGCCATGATCTTCTGTCCTCTCCTCGAGGCTGTGCGCCTTGTTGGCACCCATGATGGCAAGGTTGCCCATTCTGATCTTCTTGACATCGCCCTCTTCAAAAATGCTCCTCAGCTTCAGCACTGGCTTTGGATGCCATGGCGACGAAGCAAGCATCATTGGGTGCAGTCATGGCACAAAGCCTGAATGAGGGGTCCGTCGCCGTACTTCGCCACGAGCGCATTGATCTGAGATGGCAACACTTCGACCCAAGAATCTTTACGCATCCCGAAACTGATCTGTGCGTCGAGCCCATCGAAGATTAAGCTCCTCAGTTCAGGTCCACACACACAACTGCCGAAGAGCTTGATTCATGCACCTGCAGACTGCCCATTGTCTAGCACTTGATGGCACCCTCCACCACGTCTTAAATTGATATCCGAGGTTCCCCAATGATCTGTACGTGCCGGGGCAACATTCGGGTCATCATCTCAACAGGCCACTTCTCCAGCGCCTCGAAGCAGTGCCCCATCCCCAACTGTGCCTAAGGGGCCCACAAGCATTGACCTCAGGCATGACCGTGTGGTTGGTGTAGTTCAGGCCTTGGCTTGACTGTCTATTATTCTATTGAGCGGAAACATCAGGCAAATCTAGTCACCATGCGACATGTAGACTGGAACTGACATGATCTCTTTTCGCTGCAAGCTCCATTTGCTCGAAGACTCTTCCACGTGCAACCAAGCTGCATTTCGTGGTCAGCTCCCACGCTTCATCCCAGTGCACCCGCATGACATCTACTAGCAAGCGCATCATCTCTGCAACCTCTCAGTTCAGATGTATGAGGGCAGGCACTACGAATTTTTAGCAGTCTGAGCATGCATCAAACTCGCACTTGGGAGTCTGCAGCAATTGTAGGATGCGTATCATTCATCTGAACTGCCACCTCAGCGCGCACCATCACACTTAGACCACCAGGTCCTGCGCTGCATAACGACATGGCATGCAAATGGAGCACCTTCTCGGGCAGATCTGACCACTTGTAGTTTGGTCGTTTAATGAACTCGCGCAGCAAATCCTGCACTACGTACAACATGTCTCAATGTTCAGCCAGCCTATCAAAAAGCTCATTCACAAAGTACAGTAGAGTCCCTTCCTGCAATGAAGCGCTCACGAAGAAGTACCTGCACAACGTCAGCACCAGAGGAGGCTCTGCTTGTTGCTTCCAGAACTGCGCTCTGGCCATGCACCGAACAAAACTGCACTGTTACCTAGAGTATCTGCTGCGCACTGCTGTCGCAAGCGAAGCTCTTTGCCCTCATAGGTGGCATCATTTGGGTACAGCACGGCAGACAAGTCCTGCCAAGTCTTCAGTCAAGCTTTAGGTGCCGGCCGATTCCACGGAGACTCCGCAACATCTCACTTGTCCTCCGCCTTGCGACGCGACTCCACCGCATCAGTAAATCGAGCGGCACTGTACTGGTCTAAGTCGAACTCCTCCGGTTGTGCAGAAATCAAATCTTAAGGCTTGGCCTCTTAGGAATTTCGCTGGCAAATGACTTGACCAGAGCTCCTTTGAAGGGCATGCCCGCCACAATCGAAGATTGTTCGTGTTGTAGGTGTCGAATCCGGGGATGGGATTGTCGTAGGCCATGGCCTGTGAGCTGCAGTGTCACCCGCGCCGCGAGCTGATGGCGCACATTGAAAAATCACATGCGACAGCACAGAAGCAATCATGGACTGACCTGAACAATGTCGCCACCGACCCAGTTCCTTGGTGCCGAATAGACTGCAAGTTTAACATTTATGTGAATTTCTATGCTACGAGGGTGTTGCCAACTTTCAACCCAGGCTCATACACCACTCCCCGCTGGCATCGAGGCCCTCAACGACTTGGCCGTACAGCCGAACCGGATAAGTGATGTCCTCGCTTAGGACACTCTTCACGTCGGCGTTCGGCTCTAAAACAGCTTTGAGGCCAAAACTGGCCGAGGGATCTCAAAGGGGCAGCCGTCTCCAATCCAGAAGTCAGGCATCTCCACCTCTGAGTTTGTGGATGTAGTGGGCTGTTTCAAACGACAGCAAAACTTGGTTGTGCCAGAAGGCCTGACGTCCGTTCTGGATCTCCTGCTTAAACATCCCATAGCTGTAACCTGGGCTTACAGGCATCGCACTGACTTACACCTGCCAATCTTACTGGAAGCTTCCCCCACCCTGGGTGAGCTGCGAATGCCATAGCCCCAGCAAGGCAATGACAAAGTCGCCATGGAGTCCTGAGTTCTACAGCGTCTTATGGAGGAATCACAAAAAGCTAAGGATCCGACGAGGAAACAGGCGGCAAGACGGCCCAGGCCGCCATTTCCCAGTGCTGGGTCTGCCTCCTCGTGGAAGAGATCCTGAAGCTACGTTGAGCTGCAGAAGCCAAAACAAACAGTCCAACCAATCAAACAAACTGCAACCGGTGGTAGGTCCTCCAGCTCCATGCCAAGCGATTGGAAAGCTTCCTGGAAAAGACTCAGAAAACAGATTTTGCTTTCAGAACACCCACAAGGCCTGTCCTTGAAAGGCTGTTCCAGGTCCAGGTTGGCAATCGCATTCCTCCAAAGGTCCGCATATACGAAGGCAAGGGTATAGCTGAAATGCGTTACGTTGCATGTTACAGGGCAATCAAGCCACTGCATGTGCCGGCCAATCAGGTACTCGGCGGACAGGTAATATCCCCTCTTCACATCCATCTTCCTCTGGCAACATCAATTTATGTGCGAGCAAGTGAATGCCCTTTGCATAACGCTGCAGATGTGTTTGTAAATGCTTGCTTGACCTGTAATATGCGTTGGTGTCGTTCAAAGACTCAAGGAGCCGATCACGCAGCACCAAGCCGGCTGCTCTGTAGGCATCCTGCTCAGCAATCAATGTGAGAACTTGAGCATATGTTCTCAGGCAGGGAAGTACACATCGGTCAGATAGGATCAATGCACGAAAGGAATCTCACGGATGCTAACAACCCCCCGACCTGCATGGTGAAGTTGAACCGGGTGCAGGCCAAGGAGTACTCCAAATGTCTGGCAAAAGACTTCTGAATGGACTCTGGGTCATTTGGCTCATAGGTATCCTGACAGCATGAGTTGCTTCATCAAAATTCTTGGACAGCACTGCTGAAGGAGCGGGCCATCAGCTTCCAGAGCTTCTCCATCTTCTCCTGCTGGTCAGGATGTTCATCCTGAGCAGCATCAGGCTGTCAACTCGACGGTGTACAGCCCAAAGTTTTTGATACATGCGCATGTGGCTGAGTCAGCCGTGTGTAACATGCTCATGTCTCTAGCCAGGAAAACTAGATGGGAGATGATGTTGACACACAAGTCCCCCATGAACAAAGTCGCTGAGATCTTGCCAGAGGCTCTGAGCTTGGCATAGGCCGCTTGGTCTGATCCAGCAGAGAGAAGGAGGACTTCCGCTTCATATCCTTGACATGTTGCCACTGAACGAAACCTCAAAAAAAGCAAAGCTCTAACCTGACAATCATGTTTGATGCAAAGCAGCAATGCCATGTTGCTTCGGATCCCACACGCCGGCAGTTGTCATGGCTCCTTCATCTGCAGCAATCCCATGGGGACATTGGCAGCGCACGTGTGTTGAGAAGCATTCTTCCACACAGGCCCTGCCTGGATCTCAAATTGGAAAACAGAAGAGTGAGGAGCACAAATCTGCTGCGCAGCCGAGACAGAAGCAAACATGGCATGTTCTGCGCTACACACACGTGGGCAGCATCTGCCCAAAAGTCAAATGGTGATGCCCATGACTTCGTCGCTGCATCGCACCTATGGATGCTCTTCTGGTTGGTTCGTGCATACGTGTCCACTTTGGCGTCTCGCCTGAAAAGCAACAGTTGCGCACCAGGCCGCTCTAGGGCCTCAACCTCCTTCCACAAACACGTGTCAAGTTCATATTGGGAGCATGCCCGGCGCAATTACTGTGAGGTGTATGTAGTTTGCCCCACTAAAAAAGTGGCACCGTGTTGACTGTGTCGGTCTAACATTAGGCAAAATCCAAAGGAAGCGCGGCCCCATTCTACACTTGCCCGTGCCGTGCTTGGCAGTTGAGATTCTGGCGTTCTTCTGCGAGCCTGTGACAAAATTACACTCCATCTGCTTCCAACTCCCAAAGAGATGAGCACTACGATAGCCTCGCCTTGAAGCCGTAACGCCACTGCATAAACGTTTTGGACCTCACACCAGCAAAAGCTCCCACGTGCTAAGTTGCAAGACAGCACAAAGTGAAAACATCACCGGCTACCCCCAAATTGGCGTCCAGGGTACTGCAGCTCATGCTGCTTGGACCTAAGCTGTGCCTCCGCAACAAAGTGAGCTCGGAGCACCTGATTGCAATGGTCTCCCTTTCGATTACCGTTTTGTTCCTTGACTGACCCATCAGCATATCACGTAGAACAAGCTTCCCACAAGCCGACATTTTCGAGCTTGCAGCCTGCACACCGACCGAACAACTACGACAATGACGCTCAAGAAGGACATGGGTCCTTGCCTTCGGGCTCGCATGCGAAAATGTTCTTCCCTTCCTTGCTTCACATGGACACAGAATCCTCTACCAGCCAAGTAATCGAGGAAAAATGCAACATCAAAACCCAAAGCCCCTGCACATCACCTAAGCCTTCCCTTAAGTACGGTACGAGCTTGTCGATCACTCGAAACCATCCGGGCCCAGAGAACCTTGGATCGTGAACCATGGCAAGGGGTGTTCATTCTAGCCCATATCTGTTGCACAAACAAACTCTTTGAGACCCAGACAAATGCCAGCGCATGGAGATGTGCAGTATCCCGCCAGCACCGGGAACAGGCATCAGCCATGCATGTTTGGATTCTGTATCGTCTTGCTCGTATGGCATAATAAAAATGATTCCACTCCCCCTGGATGAAACTTTCCAAACATGGGGTCTTGGCTGAGAAATACTTGATACCGCGCGTATTTGACGCATGTTGCCATGTTGCCCTTCATTGGTCAAATCTTGACTTGCTGGGTGACCGGAAATTTTGCGAATCCTCGGCCACATTCAAGAAATGCCGCAATCTGGGTCTTCAAGCGTAACAAAAAGCAGCCCAACCATCGTTACTGTAACTGCCCAACCATCGTTACTGTAACTGCAAACACGCATGCATGCAGCAAGAACTTCGTAGAAATGATTTCTACATAAATTGCGAATTGCGATCGATGAAATGACTTTAATGTGTCTTAATGACCTCAAGCCTTACATCACAGATGTACGTGTGCACCTCACTTCAAAAATAATGCGAATTTTGTGAGAACCAAGGGGCTAAAGCCGAGGAACGAAGAAATCTGCGTAACAAAAAACCAAATGACGGAGTCGAAAATTTCAATGACCAATCGAATCCACAACATATCGCTTTTGAGCCAAAAAACGAGAAAAAAATACGTGTCGCCCTGAAGATATGTTTTTGTGGGGCATGGTTTGGACTCGGACGACCGCGATCCTGTACTTGACTCATCCCCCCAGGACTCAAGGAATCTAGATATATTCAGCATAAGGAAAGAGGGTAAGGTGCCAGAAAACAAAAGGAAACCCCCCCATCCCCAAAAGCCTTGCCGAAATTAAGTAGGAATCTCCGAAGTTCCCGAACGCCGGGGGATCTGCGAAGCATCTGGAACCGAATACAACGCTTTTCACTAAGACTAAAGCCTACTCATGTCCGAGTTCTTCCTATCGGAATTACATTTTCCAGATCTCCCAGTTGTATATCCTCATGCACATTGAATGCAGGTTGACTACCAAAACATATTTAGATAAGCCTTATTTGAGCCGCTATTTGTTTCAATTTGGCAGCCAGACTAATCCGTTACGTCAGCTCATGGTTTCAGGGACAGGGAAAAAAGTCAGCAGCAGAAGCGAGCGCACCCTTTTCCCCCTTGTGGTTAGGTCGAGTGGCAGAATCGTCAGGGCCTGATTAACTCCTGAAGTCAGACCCAGGTAGGATCGGACAGAACCTGCACCACAGAAAAAACTACGGGCAGAAGCAGGCTGCATCAACGGCCCACCGCGCCGAAGCAAAGTAGGGCGGTCATGCAGACTGCAGCACAAAAGAAAATCCAAGGCAGAAGTCAAGGCTTGCGAAGGCGGGCGCGCAGGACAAGGCCCAGAGGCAGAAAAGGCGACGGAGACGGGGGATAATAGGTGGGAAGGCAAAAACACCAAGGCTGACAGAAACTTGAGGCTGATGGCTGCAGGCGGACGCAGTCAGGTGTACCCGCAGCCTTTAACCTTCCGTTGCGTCTGGCTGCCAAACACACAGATATACTGTATATCTGTGTGTTTGGCTGCATGTGTATCATATACACGCAGAATCGTTTGGCAGCCAGACTATAGTCGGTTACGTCAGCTTCTGGTTACAGGGACAGGGAAAGCAGTCAGCAGCAGAAGCGAGCGCACCCTTTTTCCCCTAGTGGTTAGGTCGAGTGGCAGAAACGTCAGGGGCAGATTAGTAGGGTTGGACAGAACCTGCACTACAGAAAGAACTACAGGCAGAAGCAGGCTTAGCCTGCATCAACGGCCCAAGATCTCCTAAAGCCGTGCAGTGGATTGACCCGCAGGGAGACAGATGCAGCCAAACGCCACTCAGGACAGCACACCCCGAATATCTAAGCCAGGCGGATGGACCTGGATGACAGGAAGGGATGCGAGGGCAGACTAAGGCAGAGAACACTGCGCAGGGTCAGACGGGCGAATAAGCTTGTCGGCCAGATCTTTCAGACTGTTACGATTAATGTGCGCAGAGGCACGACAGCCCTCCTGAGAGCGCGGGAAGCACCAAAGCAGGTGGCAGAGGCCCTTAGCAGTGGAGAGGCCCTTCCAGCAGGCAGATTCCTCTGCGATATACGCACGTGCACAGGCAGATAGTTGGGCGGCAGAAGAGAATGAGCCCACCAAACAAGGGCAATCTGTGCCAGAAGTTCTCAACAAGCGATAAATCGCTGGGGGACAGCAGACGGGGAAAACCAGTCGACCGAGCTCAGCGGCAGTCAGGGTCTGCTGAAAATAGACGGTTTGACCGCCAGGGAAGCGAACAAAGCCCCCCAGGCCGGCAGTGGATGCGTCGGCACATGCATCAGCAGGAGCAGGGGATTCAGCAGGACGCGCCGGCGACGGCGCAGACAGAAGGTCCAGCCACACACTGGGCGATCACGGGACCAAGGCAGTCCACGCTTCGCCCACGCATGATGAGCAGCAATAAGCTTTAGTACGAACGGCTGACTGCGCCACAGCCTGCAGCTGGGAGCCGATACTTGGAGGATCGGTGTGGTTATATTTACTTGGCGCAGTTACTATGTGTTTGAAGGACTTATAAAGCAGTTACATAAATAGCTCCATAAGTGATATGAGGCACTTAGAAACGAGCGCGGTTGAAAGCCAAAGTAGATTTTCCTACTTATGAACCGCTTTCTGCTATAAGTGGCCTGGGGCCACATAGGCTAACTAGGCTAAGTAGGTTACGGGGGCATCGTTTTGGGTGTATATGATGCCTGATTTTTGATGATTATACAGCCCTGGCGATGTGACGTAGTTGAGCAGG